TAATAGGTTAAGTTTTTTTTAATATTTTGGTAGGTTAAGTTTTTAAGTGAAGACTATATTTACTAAGCAAAAATTAAAAGCTTAAATAATGTTACCAAAACTTTTTACCATAATTAAAATATTTTTTTTTGTACATCAAAATGTTATATTTTTTTTAGTATGACATTTTGATGTCATACTAAAAAAAATATAACATTTTGATGTACAAAAAAAAATATTTTAATTATGGTAAAAAGTTTGGTGACATTATAGTTAAAAGGTCATGTGTTTCAAGGCTTGTCTCCTCCTTGGGGAAAGCCCCTTGACATATAAAAGTCTTATCTCACTCTCAGTTATTAGATTAAAAATTAAATTGAGATAATAAAATTATCTCATTTATCAATTTAAACAATTAATAACTGAGTGAGATAATTATTAATATAATAATAATTTTATTAGTTATTATATCAGTTATTAAATTAAAAATGTAATAACAATGTAATATTAATAATTAATAAAATTATTTATCATTATCTTAGCTATTAAATAATGAAAGAGAGGTAACTCAAAATAATGTAAGAAATTTTTATAGTATTTTAAATTATTATAAGAAACAAAAAAAAAACAAAAAAACAAAAAAAAGTTATGTTAATTTTGGTGCACCGTACTAGACCTGTCAACACATTCAGCCATCAAATTATCAATGGAGACGTGAAAATAATACACCGAGATCAATAAATGTTCAGCTAGAAAATTTTATGCTATAAGCAAGTGATATTTGTTTCAGAACAGATTAAGTTAACTTTAAATTTGTTAATGTTACAAAAGTAAAGTTTCTGACATGAGATCGCTGGAAAATGAGCATAGCAGGATAATAACAGCCTTAAACTTGATGAAAATAATTTTTTATCGTCTAAATGTTTGTTATTATCAAGAGGAAAGATCAAAGTAGTTTTTGATTATTTTTTACATTTTTTAATAATTTCTAGCATGTTCAAAATTTTCGTTAAAAATCTTGTATTTTTTTTGATCAGCAAAATTGACAGAAAATTGATCGTCAGCCATTTTTTTTAACTTTTCTTTACAAAAGTGAAAATCTCCGTTAAAAAAAAAAAAAAAAAAAAAAAAATCAATTGTGATTTTTTAAAAATTAATTTAAGAAAATTAGGAATTATAAAGTTTATTTAATGTATTTTGAAACAAACATTAATTACTTTCTGCACTGAAAAAAAAAAAAACCCCCAAAAACTTTCAAATGATAGAAAGCCGGAAAAGTTATAGTACGGAAGGTCACAAGTGACAGTTTAGCTTTATGTGAACAACGTATTTACCTTGTTATTTTTAAGTAGGCATAGCATGATAAAAACGGCCTTAAACTTGACGAAGGCAGAATTTTATCATCAAAATGTTTATGTTACTACCAACACAAGCCACGTGACGGACTATTGTTTTCATGATGCTTCCGGTCTTCCATATATTTGAATTTAAGCTATTTTGGGGCACAAAAAACAAACAAACATGTTACATTAGATTTTTAGCTATTGGCAACTTTCTGATTGTAACCAGCTTTATTTTATAATCTGTAAATGATATTTATCTACTTAATAACACTATTGAGTAAGGTGTACAAGACTTTCATTAATTTTAGAATAATTAACAACTTCAATGTAAAAAAAATAATAAAATAATTTAAGAAATAAGTAATTGTTGTAAAAATTTATTTTTCATTGAAAACGTTTTTTGCTTTCAGAAAATATTATCCATGTTCATACAAAGCAACTAAAAGCTTTTGAAATTAAATATCTTTGTTCTATTGAGTTTTGTATGTTACAATTCAGAGTTGATTTTAAGGTAAAAGGGGGTCAACTTAAAAAAAAAAAAAAAAAGAAAAGAAAAGAAAAAGAAGAAAATGATTTGCTTTCCTTAAAGCCTTGTACTTTTAACTAATTAATCACTAAAACCGTACAAATTAGAATTTCATGAGTTTTCATAAAATTAATTGGGGAAGAAGTTAATATATATAAATATTTTTTTTTGCCATGTCTTAAAAAACAAAAAAAACCAAACATATTTATAATAATTTCCATCATTTGTGAATAGTTTCTGAAAGTTTCATTAAAATCTGACAATTATTTTTATTTTTGCAAGATTTTCAAAATTAATGACTGCCATTAAAAAAAAATACACAAAAATCCGCCATGTTATTTTGTAGGACATTTGTTGATGATGAGAAACAAGGTTTTTCAATCAAAAGTTAGAATGCTATAATAGAGACAGAAAAATTTTGAAAAATAATTACAAATTACTTTGTTCTTTCCTCTTAATAAAAACAATCATTTTAACGATAAAATTTTGTTTTCGTCAAGTTTAAGTCCGTTATTATCCTGCTATGCTCATTTTCTAGTGATCTCATGTTGGTACCTAACCTTTAGCTTTAAATGGAAGCTGGGGAAAGCTTCAAAAAGGATTTTTCCTTTATGAAAAATACATTTAAACTTTAGGTATACGAATTTTTGGAGGTACCTAAAAACATGCTGTTTTTTGTAGATATGGAAGATCATACACAACATTATCAGGAGATAAAACCAATAAATACAATAAATTTAAAACCAAAATTTCTAAAATTCAATAAAATATTAGATTATGGAGAATATTTTCCCAAATTTAAGACTGCTAAGTACTTAAAAATTATATATAAAAGGCACTCCCATCTTTCTTCAATTATGTTTCAGATTCACAGATAAAGTCCCACCCCCTTCCCAGAATAACATTAGATCTGTCATCATGTCAACACCTTAAATAAACAGCTACAGTCAGGTTAAAAATGCATTTTTGCAATATTTTAAACTTAAAGTAAATAATATTTGCTTCAAATTAGATTATACTTCAAATCAGCTAATATTCCTCAAATAAAGTTTCAGAAAAGTATATTTTATTTTGTAATAAGAGAATGAAAACTTCAAAAAATATTTTTTTTCCATTTTGCGAATTCCTTTTTTTGTGTGTGTGTGTGTGTGTGTGTGTGTGTGTGCATGTGGGGTGGTGAGCTTATTTTATAAGAGGTGGCATGAAATATTTTGATAACTTTGTTGTTAGCAGAGGTTTGAATAAAAAGAAAGCGAAAAATTCAGCTAAGTTGGAATGGAAAGAAAAAAGAACTGATAGAAATGAACCCTGGCAAACTGACTCCTTTTCACAGGGAGGTTTGTTTCTCTCTTTCTCATATACAGAATAAAAAGTAGAATCTATGCCAGACAGCAGTGAGGGTCTGACCTCATTTTGCCAGGCTCTCTGGAACACAGGCTGGCTTCCCGCACCCCAAAGAAGGCGCAAGTACAACCGAACACACACACATACACACACACACACACACACACACACAGTGGCAAAAGCTCCAACTCAAAAAGCATAGGGCTGCCCCACATAAGTAGGTGGCCTTTTCAGCTCTGCCAGTGTCTCTAGTGGTGGTAGAAGTGTAACTTAGAAACACTGACCCCATTCTTTTCTTCTCCCAACAAAATTCACCACCAAGTAGATATAGGAATAGTTAGAACCAAGTTTTTTTTTTTGTTTTTAAAGAAACTTATTTTCTTACTTCAATATCAATGCTTTCTACAGTGAAAACAACAATGAACATTATCAAAAACTGCAAGTACTTTTCTTGCTTAAAATACATCAGAGGATAAAAATAAATTGTCTGAGGTGTGAGGGGAGTGAGATAAAGTTATCCCCTTCCATATTCCTCTTTCCGGGATCAGCCTAAAAAGTACAAAGAAAAAAAATCTTAAACAGAACATGTTTAGAAATTGCTAATTTAAACCAGACACACGTTTCACAACTTATGAGAAAGACTTTTTTTCTCTCTCTCTCTCTGCTCTTCAGACAGACAAAGTTGATAAAATCCTCGTCCCCAACACTTCAGAAGAGCTAGGAGTCATTCTCTAATCTAGTTGTTACTACTATTACTACTACTATTTGCCCGGGCACACCATTAATGGCTGCCGTTTCTTAGTTAAACAAAAATTATCATAAAATATTTTCCTTCGATTGCCTCTTCTCATTTGACAATCATTTTTTAAAACAGAATTAAACTTATCGAATGAATCCTTTACAAAAAAAAACAAAAAAACAAAAGAAAAACATACAAAATATAAATTGAAAAAATTGTGTGAATAACATGATTCAAACAATTCTTTTATTAACAAGATACCTGGAGGAAAAAAAAAAAAGAAAGAGATAAGACCTAAAATTGATCCAAATGTTGGAGGATTTGACAAGGTTTGTGGAAAGGAGTACTACTGGCAGTAGCAAAGTACCAGGTGATATGCTAGAAACTGGAATTCAACTTGACAAAAAAGCATCCAGTAAGAATGAAATCAAATATGGATTTAATTTATTAGTTCAATAAAACAATTAACTACCTTCACTAATTTTGAGAAACTCATTATCATTACAAAAGACTTTGTTGAACCTATTTTTTATTTTTTGGATTCAAAGAGAGATAGAGTATTGCTTTTTTTTTTTAAATTGAGTACAGAAAAAAATATCAAATGCATAGAGAAGGCAGCCTGGAAAACAAGAAACAGCAAAAACTTGTCAATTTTTGGTGATGGATTAATGGATTGGAAACCGTTGATTTCAAAGTTATGTTATTTGGTAGTAGATAATGACACTGAGCACAGAGGCAATAAAGTAATAGAGCAAAATAAGAGGAGAGTGAGTAAAAGCAAAAACAGAGAAGAGGTCAATTGATGGGCAGAAAAACATATTGCTTAAGAATTGAAAGTTTCATCATCTAACAAATAATTTAATAAATAATGATAGGACTTCCAGGTTCAATACCAACAAGAGATACCATAAAGACCTTTACTGTAAAAAATAAAATCTGAACCAACTAATTTCTCTCAAATGACATGTCTTCAGCATACTCAATGGATAAAATCTGAAGATAAGCTTTCCTTTGTCTTTCAGTTGGCTATGTTGTAAAATAGCCATTCTTGGACTGAAGTAAATTAAGTTTTATGGCCACATCATGTTGAAACACTGGCTCTTGTATGATCACCAAAGTTAAGCATTATTGTGCCTGGTCAGTAAATACATGGGTGGCTACTTGGGAATACCGGGTGCTGTGCTTCGATATGCTGATGGTTTTCTAAATAATGGCTTGGAGTTGTTAATTGGAGAGGTGATTTCCAATTCCAGTTGGGCTTGTTGTCTTCAATTATGTATAAAAAAAACCTTGGGAAAGACATGAATCCACCCCCCCCCCATGGGGTTAATTAGTGAGACTTGTATCACAAAATCATTAAGAAAAAAAAAAAAAGAGGTAGCTAACTATCAATAAATGTAAGTAATTCAAAGATGTTGCGAGATAATCAAGAAAACTAGTGGTGCAGCTTCAGAAAGGTAACAGACTTCAATATATTGGTTTCAGAAACAATAAGAGGACCTAAATTATTTTTTGCATTTATTCAGAATAGCTTTATTCTGTCAGTATCACTTGCATTAATTCCTGCTCATTGACAGCCTGCCACTTTTTCAGAGCACATTTTAAGTTAACAAAACCTAAATATTTTACACCTCATCATAATTTTTTTCCTCACTATATAACCAAAAATTAAAATATATATAATCATTACTGTAAAAGAAACTTATGATGCATTTGTCTAATAAATCCTACTTATGATATCACAGTTTACATAAACAGCTAGTGTGAAGATTCCCTCCCCTACACTTTATTATGAGTTTTTTTTATAGCTAGAATTGGGATTCAAACTTAAAAATATAGATGCAAATTAGTGTCTCAAGCATTGGTTTCCAAGTCTGTTCAATATAAAATGGTAAGAAATGAAATGTTCTCATTCATTGGGGTTGTATTGCACTTATTTGTGTAGTAGTAATAAGAAAGAAAAAAAAAAAACAAAAAAAACAAAAAAAAAAACATCGAAAATAAATAGGTTTTATAAAAAAAATAAAGTGTCATCGCTTTTCTATCTGCAATAAAGTCTAGTTTACAATTACCTTATTTGACGGCATATAAGACACATGGTATAAGATGCACCCCAATTTCAGCAGGGCAAATTAAGAAAAAATTAGTAATTAGTAAAAATTAGTAAACCTACATATGCCATATAAGACAGAGGTGAATTTTAAAAGATATTTTTAGTAAAAAAAAAAAGCGCGCCTTATATGCTGTCAAATATGGTAGTTAATTGTTTTTATGCGCTTTATGAAAGAAAAGGAATTTACAAAATGCTGATAACTAAGAGCAAGCAGATTGTTATAGATGCAATTACCTTTTCAATATTATACCAAACAAAATCCATTGACATGAAAATTCAAAACCTTTGTTTTCAGTGGCATGAGCAGCAATGATGCTTACTTACATCATTCTTATACATTCTTAATCAATAACTTGTGGTATTATTTCATCAAATAGTCTACAAGATTTTATTTACAAGGAAATACACATTGCAAGTAGCATTTGTAAACTATGTCTCATCCTTGTATTCAAACATTCAATGCAAGACGAGAGTTTGTGTGTAGCAAGAATATGAGAATATACAAATAAAATTATTTCTTAAAAAAAAAAAAAAAAAAAAAAAAAAGGATATTTTACTTCTCATAAAATTTCGATTTCTGAATAAGCAGAAAACAAAATAAAGTATTCCATAAAATTTTATTTTATCTTGTTTTGATTTACTTTTATTTTTTGGCTGTTGGCAAGAGGCAGATTATTTTCCCTTCCAGATATAATGCTTGATATATACACTTGAGTTTGATATTTTTCAGTCTTAATGTATAGTTTCTACCCACCCTGCAAAGACCATAATTTTTTTCTTCCTATCCCACAATAAAGAATAACAATTTGTTAAAAGTTATAAAGCTAAAAGCTGTACAGTCTTCCATTTCTAGCAACTGTGGAGCTGTTTTGCATAAACTAATTGATCCCAACAATGGATCAACAGATTTCACACTCATTATTCAACACAGTTAAACATGTGTCCTGAATAAGTGTTAGGCAATCATTACATCGCTGTGGAACTAAAGTAGGTTTGTGTGTTGTGTCTACTTTTTGGACAACTAAATTGGCATGGTTGTTGTTGCTCTTTTTCTGATTGCTATTTCATGTAGTGGCCCTCAAATGCAGCCAGTTACTAAACTCAGCCACAGACAGGCAACAAATGGTCTGACGGCCACGTTTATCAGATATATTGAAAACACAAATAATAGGGAAACACACATCAGTGTTGTCATTATTTTATTCCTCTACCCCTTTCTTGGTAATCATCATTATAATCCTGCTGATAATGAGATTGTGTTTGTGTGTGTGCGTGCGTGCGCACGCACCTGTCATGTCTCACTCCAACATGTCTGCCTGCTACTTCTCGCCATTGCTTTGCTTGCCACCTGTCAGCCAGCCACTTGCTGCTGCTAGCATGAAGAGCCAATGTTATGCTATTCCAAGTCAGCTATATTATCTATACTATTATTCTGCTTGTTTGCATGTCAGACCTGTTATGCTTTTCTTATTAGATAAATAAAAGTCCATGTCACTTGTTTTGTCCGTTTGTCATCAGTGGTCATACTAAAGCAAACAGATTAAGTGAATCTTACTGTGATTCTAGTATATGACCTGGAGATAGGCCACTGTTTTACTGATTGAAGAGAGGGTGAAATTAACTTAGAAATACTAACTTAGTTTCTTAATGTTTATAATTACTTAAATTAGTACATTTCTTTTTGCTTATTTCTCCAAAATACTGACATTCAAAAAAGAAAGGAAACTAAATTAACATTTTTTTAAAAATTTTATTATATTTTAACAAGACTGTTGTCACTTTAAAGTTTAAAAAACCGATCACTGCTTTATTTTGTTAGTAAATACTTTCATTAATAGAGAATAAAGAAAATGTATTAACTGTTTTTTTTTCTACATTGAATGTGATGCTTTGTTAAAGCTTGTTTGCTCCACCTGCAACTTGTAGTAGCCATGGCCAACCGTATGTAGCTCTGAGTAGAACAAGAAATTATGTTAAATTATAGATGTACACTTCAGATTAAACTGATGGAAGCATGCTTCATTATCAATACCTATCTTATTACATTTTGCAACTAGCAATTAACTCAATAACTGTTGCTTAACTGGCATCTCACCATCATTGTTACCAGAGTGTCTAAGTGATTTTGTCTTAATATTTTCAAACTCTTATTTTTTATTTATTTTGAGTATTAATTTTGTGTAAATTTATATCTAATTTGCCTATAATAACCTTATTCTATCAACAATTTGCAGAAATATATATGAGAATAATGATATCTTAGTTGTTATGGAAATAGTTATTTGGCAGACTGTGCTCTTAAATCCTTGGTTAACAACTAGTCTAGGAAAAACTGTGGTAAAGGCAACAAGAAACCACTATACTATTTTTCTCAAGAACAACCATGGCAATGCACCAATTATACATACTAAAGAAAAGAAAGATGTAGATAGTCATGATCGCCTACGTTCTGGAAGAAAAATAGCACTTGGAGTTGGCACCAATCCAGATGACTGGGATGTTTTTGGTACTAGGAGAATTTATCTTAAAATTCATTAAGATATTGATTTCAAATGCACTGTTGCAACTATCAGTTTTAATTTTTTTGTTTTTTTTAATTTATCAAAATTAACAATTTTTCATTTATTAATTCTAACAATATAGAAGAAAATAATATTTTTGATATATTATGCTTTTTATATCACGAAAAATAAAAACATGACAAACACAAAAAATGGTCTGCAAAGTTTTGTGCTAGATATTTGTTGAACAATTTAGGTAGAACAGTTGAGAATGATAGCAATCAAATCAAGTGATTGAGAATAATCAACATTATGGCCACCATATTCAAAATATCTAAATCAAGTGTTGAAACAAATCATTTACACCAACTTGTTTATGTTAGTCACTTTGAAGTGTGACATCCACATATTATGTATACACGTATACAAAACTTTTCATGTGCAATTTGGTACTTAATCATAATAAAAATATCTTGTTTATTAAAGAAATTGTGACAAGTGATGAAAAGTGGATACTTTACAAAATGAAATGCAACAGCATGAAACAAGGAAAAATGAACTATTGCTAACTGTATCAAAAAGCCAGTATTCATCCAAAGTAAATAATGCAGTATATATAATGAAACGAGAAGTGTATCCCTGGCTATAAATTCCTTCTGGGTTGATTTGAATAAGTTATCATTCTCACCTAAGACAGCTGAAAGAAGAAATTAATGAAGAGCATCCAGAATTAGTTAACAGAAAGAATGTAATATTTCATCAGGATAACAGTAGGGCATATGTTTGTTGGTGACCAAGTTAAAATTGTTAAATTTTCACCAGATATTGCCACTTTGGATAACCGTTTATCCCAGCATTTACAGAATTCTCTAAATGAAAACAATTTCAGTTCCCTGGAAGACTGTAAAAAGCACTTAGCACATATCTTTAAGAAAGATAAAATGTTTTGGGAAAATGGAATTTTAAAGTTTTCAGGAAGACAGCAGAAAAATAATAGAACAAAACAGTAAATATTTTGTATAAAATTAATGTTGAAAATAAAATATTTAATTTTAATTTAATATACCAAATGAACATTTTAATCAAGTCAATTTTAAATATGAAAAAGGAAATGTTTCAATCCATAAATTCTTAAGACAACTTGAGATTGCAGACTAGTTAAATACAAAATGGCTAAAATAAAATTTTTTTCATAAGTATTATAAAAGGCTCTCACTGGGTTTTATATCATGCTTTAAGAAAACAGAAATCAAATTCCTCCACTCTTGTAGTGAATTTGCCTATACCTCTTTTTATTTGTATAAAAGACTCCTTTTCTACTTAAATATGTTGTATTACTGTATGTACTTATTCTTTGTAGATTAAAACATAAAATGATTTTATTAGTCTTGTATGAATTGTTTCATTATAATTTATTCTTCAAAGAACCATGAACAAGATCTTCAAAGCTCACCGGGTGTTGGTACCATTGTTCAGTACAGTAGACATTGGTATGCTATTTTTGTCTAATTTTCTTAAAAAATATTGAGCAGCATTCCCCAATAAACAGATGGAGCTTATAAATTAT